AGAATTGCATTCTTGGAAGAAGCCTCTTGAACTCGGAGACCGCTGATCCGTATGACGGTCGTCCGATTGAAATATTAATTAATTACGAAACATATTAATCTACGTCGGTTTCTTTCGATATTACTTCTACGAGTTCGGGAAATTGCGCAATCACTCGCAAGAATATCAATACAGGAGAGAAAGAGAGATTTTCATTCGACACTTGTCGACTCAGCGTGACGGTCGTCGAAATTAGAGATGGGCGATACAGTATCGATACCTCGATGCCAAAATAACGATACTTCGGATATTAATACCCGATGCCGAAGTGTCGATGTTTCGTACCAATGTCTTACCATTCGATATGTTCACATATCGATACGCGATCCTTAAATATCGAGCTCTCCGATACAACGATTATTTGTTCGATTTGACTGCCTTCTGATGACTCATCTACAAGTTTAACCCTTTTAGTGCCGGGCGAAAAAGAGGTGCTTATGCGAAGATAACCGGCCGATTTTACTAGGATTTGGTAAAAGGCTCATAAAAACCAAACGAAAAGCAATATTTAAAAATTATTTATTTTAATTCTCTCGTAATGAAATTAGACTATTTATAACGTATTTTAAATTTATTTTGATAGAGATCTCTCGCAATGCGAATAGTAAAGCGCTACAAAGTGCGGGCCGATATATCGGCTCTGGCACTTCTCGCCGGTGTAGCAGGAGCCGATATATCGGCTCCCGGCACTAAAAGGGTTAAGCAATTAGTATTATAAGTATCAGTTGTTAATTGTAACTCTGGTTCCTTCCGAGAGGCTACTTCGTAAGGCAGATAAAATAATGACCGGAGAACGAGATAAGTCGATGGGTGACCACCTAAAATCAGTTATTATTTTTTATAACGTCTCGATCAATCAGCGATTGGCATTTATAACTATTCAATATTTGGCATTTCGAATTAGACGCGCAGCGTCTCTCGCGCATTTGTTTCCGACGTTTCGCAAACATTTCGTTAACAGTCCATTTTTTTCAGAACTTGAGATACGACCCAAGATTAGCATCTGTAGAGTGATTATAAATTATTATTACACGTCTCTCATAATGTACGAAATAATATAACTTATTTGCAAATAAAATTTTATGCGAATTTTTTTCCTTTTGGTTTAGAAAATAATTTTAACGTAATTATTTAAACATTATTATAAATACGTGCCATTCTCATTATTACATTCATATGGCATATACAGCATAGCTGCTTTTAATCGGAGTTACTTGTAAAAAGTATAACGTCATCATCGTTGTAAGTTAGTTCTTCAATGATTTTCGTAACGACGATTATCTTCCACCGATAAATTCCCCAATCCCGCTTTTAATCCAATATTTCCAATGATACCGATACTAAAGACATCCGATACACCTTGCATATACCGATACTTCCATTCACGATACGTATCAATACGACGTATCGATACGATTCGCGTTGTATCGCCCATCTCTAGCCGAAGTATCTTTCCCGACGTGTAGAACGTAGAATTATTTACATTTCATCGTCATCAACGCCTCTCGTCGAACATTTGTTTTAATTATATCTGAGAGATCCTGAATCGATTCGCGTTGAACTCGAGGCTGTGTCGAATTCAGCCAGCCCATTTCGAGGTGATCTTTGTGACTCAGCTCTCTCTTCTTTCTCACGTATGTCTTACTATTCGTCGAATTTCTCTTCTTTATCGATCCTTTATCGATGCCGGGCTGATATCGGGGTGTCCGAGTTCGCCTGAGGTTTCCAGCCAGGTTGGAAGGTTGGAGGTTACGAAGCGCTCGGTGGCGGCATGGAAAGAACGGAAAGAAGTTTCTTCTTTCACGCGTTAACGAGAGAAGAAACGGAAAGAAATAATCGGGCGTTCCCACTCTCTATATTAAACACGCTAATTACACACACACACACACACACACAAACACACACATATTCCGCTATTGCGCGAGAGTGCACGTAGAACGGCGCGCGAAAGGGTGTCTAATAATCAATTTAAAAATATAAGCGACCAAATACGCTGGAATATAAAATAGGCTTGTTATCGCTCGACTCGAATTTGCTCATTCATTCAACAACAACAACAACCGAGATGACAAAACCAAACATCGTTAATAATCAGCTACGAATCTGTACTCGTGAAAGAGGGAGAGATATAATTGCGAATTAAACGATTCTTGTTTCTTGGCAATGTTTTCTCTGTCCTGTTTGTCCGTTTGTCAGCACGACCCTGTCCACACGTCCAGTTCTATACGGAGAAAACAAATTTTGCTGGAACAGCGAATGTTTGTCAATATAGTGAAAGCGAGAAGAAATTTGTTCAGACAGCAAAAAATTTGTCTGGACAGCGGGAAGATTTGTTAAGAGTATTAATCGCTATTTGCCGGTTATACGGACGATTAATATTTTTAACAAATCTTTTTGCTGCCGAAACAAATTTCTTGCTGTATAAACAAATTTTTTTTTTCCGCCGCTATATTGACAAACATTCGCTGTTCCAGCGAAATTTGTTTCCTCCGTGTACACGTGAAACATTACCGAAGTACTGGACTCAACTGCTAGTATAGGTTTTAATTACGACACAGTTCACGTGAGTAATTATTTCCCGAGAAAGACTTCGTCCAGCAATAATTTATCGCTCGAGTTTCGTATTAAATCAGTGATCGTCACAATCGTCATTATTATTTAATTATTCTGCATTATATTAGTCTCCTACATTATATTATTTCTGTAATTCAAGTACTCAAAATCAATCGGCGGTCGTAAGAAAATTACTGAGTTGCAGTAATTTATTATTGCCAGCCAATAATGCTTTTCTACAAGGGAAGCTCTCATCTTGAAAAAGTTGCGTACGTCGGATGTGCAAATTCATTTGGTGCGAATCTTTCATTATGGACGTCCTTGCGCCGAGGTCCTTAATATCGAGATTATCCTTACGGAGAGTACGGTAAAACATGCTCGTTCCTGCCTTCGATTATTATTAATTGTACAGATTAATTCGGCGTCTTTGCATTAAACATCCTGTAATTCTGGTTGAAATTTAAATTTTTCCCGAGCCTATATAGTGATTTGAAAGTGCTAACCTTAAGCCTTAAGAAGCAGTATAATAGTTGACGTGGCCTTGCCGATACAACCTGAGAAAACAGTAGTTATCACGATGGGGTTCGAAAGGAAGCAACCGAGGCGCCGCATCCTTGCACTCCGATTGAATGAAAATGTTTGCTCGGTCCATCGAAAATGATTGGTTCCGCTTCGGACGAAGGCGCTATGTGACCGATGAAACTTATAAAAGGACCTTAAGAAAGTAATGGAAATTATTTCGAACAGTAACACGTGAGGTCTCAACCTTTCGATCGAGCTGGGCGTTCTCTCTCAATGGCGAGGTCGACCTTAAATTCGACCTACCATTTCGTCATGGCAAGGTAAAAAAGTAAAAAAATTCACGCACATGTTATTCTCAAGTATGTCGTTGAGTTGATTAAAGTAAAAGAAATATGCCACTACGGGGGTTCGGATTTTTATATGCAGCCCGACGTGTTAAACTTGTTGACGTTTTGCAAATGAATTTTGAATTTCATGAAAAAAAAACAAAGGCGCCGAATTAATCATTCAGCTGAAATCAAGGATTCGTTCGCTCTGTTCGTCACTCACACTCGCCGTTCGTCGACTCGATCCTTGCGATTTCAGCGACGCGCCGGCCGCTGTCGCGAGGGTCCTCGCCGTCTCCCCTTTGCGGCGGGGGGTGCGTTTAACGCGGAAATAAGACAAAATCGGGGAGGGAAGTTATATACACACATGCCGAGATGCTCGACAATCGACTATCATCGAGATATCTCGCGAGATGCCGAGAGAGATCTCTCTGTCTCTCTCTAGTCCGGTCGGTAGGAGTGGCGGCAGGAGCAAACAAGACGGGACCAATCGCTGAGGAAGGGTGGTCCAGCCGGTGTTTGTCTTCTCGACCCTCCGCCGGGATGCCGCGGAACAGCCTAACGTCGCGCGCCAACATCGGAATCGCGGAGCCAATCGACCGGATCGCCGCGAGCGAGCGCGGAAGAAACGGAAGTCCCGAGACGCGCGAGAGACATTAGATTAGCGGAGTCCGCGCGGACAGTCCCGGATCCAACAATCGCGCGCGAACTCTCGCGAAAATCGCGCCGATTCGGACCCCGATATCCTTCCGTAGCCGTCAAGACCGTTCGCGTTGCGCTTTTCGATCTTGAGAAGCGGAATTTGAGCTCGCTCGGTAGTACCGTTTTAAACAGGACTTTAATAAGTAACGAAGGAACGCTCTTTAAATCACTATAATGGATAAACAGTCATATAAGACTCGGTAGATAATTAAACGTCTAACACGTGACGAGAATAATCTCATAAATTTGATATTAATTTTATCAATTTGAAACGATTTTTATTTTATAAATTGAGAACGTTATATATATATACATATATATATATATACATAAATTTACTATAATATAATATTATAAATTTGAAGCGATCTTTTTATTTTTTATACAAATTCGATTTTATACATTTAATTCGAATTCGATTTTTAAAAGCTTCATACATCGAGAGCATCTCCAGATCGGAAGAAATGATACGACAATTGATTTTATTGTGAATACAGTACGATTTTATTTTATACGAATTTCGAACGATAATCATTGATATCGTGAATGCTCGCTACGCGACACATGGATTTCGCGAATTTTTGCGATGTCAGTCGGCTTGAATCGACCTGCCATGTCTGAAAAATCCCGAGAGCATCGAGGAAGATTAATCACGGACGCGGATGTCCGCGTGTTCCTCGGTCGTCGGCGAGGAAGTCGGTGAGGGACGACGAAGTAATCGCGGGGCTTTCGTTGCTTCCCGCAACAACGAGGCACGTGTGCGGTGAAAGCACCACGTGGACGGCCGGTAAAAGGCCGGTGCGAAAGGGCGAGAGAGAGAGAGAGAGAGAAAGAAAGAGAGATCAAGTTGGTTCCGTCATGCTTCGCGGCAAGAACAAGAACAACAGGCCGGAGAACAACGAGGACAAGGAGGCGGATGGTAAGCAGAGGAGGCCGAAGTGCGCCCGTTGCAGGAACCACGGCCTGATCTCGTGGCTGAGGGGCCACAAACGCGAGTGCCGTTACAGGGAATGCCTGTGCCCCAAGTGCTCCCTGATCGCCGAACGGCAGCGCGTCATGGCGGCGCAAGTAAGTTTCTCTCACCAATCTCGAGCTTTTTTGTTTTCTTTCGAGCGAGATTCTACAGAGTGTAACCCAAACTGGTCTCGGTTCCGGTGCTGTGCGCGCGACTAGAACGGGGGTGAAACCGAGCGGAAAAGTATCGGGTTTTATTTGAAAAATGATGGAGAACTTTTTTGTTCGGTGCGGTCTGATCTACAAATGTATGATGATTGGTTGAAGGACAGACGGTGGTCGGTATGTTGAACTTTGACCCTTAAACGTCGAACTTGTCGTTAGGTACGATAATTGTCATACAATTGTAGATTAGACGATTCGGAACGAGAAAGTCCCTCGCCATTTTGCAAATAACACGGAAACTGTTGAGTAATTAATTAAAGAAGCCTCTTTACGTGGCCATTTTCGGTTATTAATAACTCGTAATTTTGCGTGTTATTTGCAAAATAGTGGGTGATTTTTCCGCTTTCTATTTCACCCGTTCTAATTGCACACCACGGGAACCGAGATTAGCTTGGGACACCCTGTATATGATATGATTGGAACATCCGAGTCGAAATTTCGCCCCTACGTTAGAAACCTTTAATTCGACAAACAAGTAGGAACTACAAGACAACAAAATAAGTTCAATTCTAACGATATAATTTATTCTTGCTTTGACGTCGCGACGTTCTAAGATTTTTGCAGTTTTTAACGTCAAAATACGAGGTTGTTTGGATATTCAAATGAATTTAATAATAATGATTTCTTTCCATATTTCGGCATATTTTTCGAGAAAAAAGTATAGAGTTGATCTCATCATCAGCCATTATTCATGCCAATTTATTTACTTATTTATTTACACTATTTTCGCAGCAAAAGAGGCCAGAAGTTTCGTTCATTGCAGAAGTGTGAAAGGTTGTCACGTGATCGAAAAAGCGGATCTATGATTTATTGTTTTTCCTCGTAGGAAATCACGGAGAAAAAAATTTTCAGGATGACATTTTAGAATGAGATCTTTAGGTTTTCTCGTCAAAGTATTTTTAATGATTTCCGTTGGTGAAGAAAACAAGTCCGTGAACGTGCGATTTTCAGCTTCGGTCCGCTAATTTTCGCGTCTCCGTGCATTTTCCCGCTGAATCGAGAATCAATTTTCCCCGTGATTCGCGGGAATTTCATCGTACAAAACGTGTCATTTCCGCCGCTCTCTTAGGCCGACGTAGAAACGCGTGTGTGCGACGACGAAGACGACTCCTCGATGCAGGAAATCCGAGGCGGGCATTATTATTCGTGAATGTAAATGTCACGAGTTATTATTGCGAGCCCCGTTCTTGTCAATTTAAGCATATGCGAGAGTTTATCTTTGCGCTTTGAACAACGCGAGGAGGAAAATGCGAGAGAGAGAGAGAAAAATGTCAATTCGCTGCACACGCGATCGAGCGTGATCAACGCGCCTCCGATACCGCTTTATTTCACAAGATTTCACCTTCGGTATTTAAAGGGACGGATCGGACAGCTCGTCGTCGTCGATGTGCGTTCTACAATGAAAAGAAAGAGCGAGCAAAAAGCGCGTGTCTCGCCGCAAAATAAGGATTTAAATCGAGCCGATTTAATTGCGTCGCCTATTTCATAGGATTATGATTACGCGTCAAATCATCGCGCGGGTGAAACCGAAAAAGAGTTCGCTCGTTTGCTCGGAAAAGCTCCGGCAATTTTGGGGATTTGCGTTCTCTTAAACGTATAAATCGTAGCTCTCGATGGCACGTAGAAAGAATTCTATCGTAGAAATGATTGAGGATTTATTCCGTCCGAATTTTTTAGCCTTCTGTTTAGAAATTATAACAATTCCGGGCTCGGCTCTTTTAATCGTGTAAACAAACAACTTCGACATCACACGGGGAGAATTTTATCGCAGAAATTACTAGATAATTCCGTAACTATAAGATATTTTAACATTCTACCTCAACTCATCGTCTTTTCGCTAAAAAAACTATAATTTCGGCTAATCCGCCTTCTTAATCGTGCAAATTGAAGCTCTCGATGGCACACAAAATGCACATAAGACAGACGTACATAAAAATTATTATTATATTAGAAAATTCTATCGAAACCGAGGTGTTGTATTGATATTCCGCCTGAATTTTTTTATCCTCTTACATCAATCAATCTCGGTTTGTTCCCCTCGTTTTCCCGCCGATCGCCGAGATATTTGACTTCTTTCCACGGTATTCCACCGTTTCGTCCGACATTTCCGTGGAAATTCTCGGACTTCAGCAAACCGTCCAAAACGCGAAACATCCACGCAACACTAACTTGTTTCGAGGCCGCTTCGTGTCGAACACTGAATTATAACCGAAGCAAACAAAACCGTGGACGAAATCATCTCGTCGATACGTGTCGGGGGCGATATGATCGCCGTATGCATAGCACATCTCCGCGAGATATGAGAGGAGAGACGCGAGAATAAGGGGGAGGGGGGGGGGGGGGGAATTAAATCCATTAACNTTAACGCTCGGTATAGCGTTTCGTTTCTGTTTGCATAGGCATTATGATACTCGATACTTTGTTTGCAGCGAGACTCTCGATCCGGTAGAAGCGCGACACGTTAATGCTCTCTCTCTCTCTCTCTCGCGCGCGCGCGCGCACGCGCGTTACCATCCACCTATCTCTGTAACTTCGAACAAAAATAATCGAGAGGGAGAAAAGGTTGGGCGGAGGGGGGAAAAAGAGAAACTCAGGCGTAGATCGCGGTTAAACAATGCACGTTCGAGACCGTCCGTGGCAATAATTGCCGATGTAAAACCGCGATTACTCGCCGGAGGAACCTTTCTACTCGCGACGCGAATAATTTCAAGTGATAAACGTGAGAAACGCGACGGTATCACCCTCGGCGAGTATTAGCGGGATTACACTCGTGTATACTCGGCTCGGCAAACGTTCCGTGTAAACGTACACAAAAAAGAAAAAAATTCTCGACGCATCGCGAATTTCCCCGTAAAGTTAAAACGCCGACTTTCACCGTGGTATCTTTTCCATACGTGTCGAAGACAACATTAATTATACGCTAATTAATTATACGTTAATGCGATTGATAGGTCTTAGGGGAATAAGCGGGAATAGCTGTCTAAGGTTTTTCATAATTAAAATATCAATCGTTGTACATTATCAACATACGTGAAAAATAACTTTAATTACACGCTGTTAAAGTAATTGCCAGGACTCGAAGTATAGAGAAGACTCGATTAACTGTATTAAGTTTTTTTTCTTTTATTTTCTATTTAACTACTTTTCAATTAAAATGTCATCTGTTGCATTATCAACATGTATGAAAAGTAATATTAATCGCGTACCGTTAGTGATTGACGGGTCAAGAAATAAGCAGGAAAGACTCGACGAACTGTATAAACTATTTCATAATTAAAGTGTATTATAATTGTTATGCAACATTATGAACACGCGTTCCAAATCCCAAGTATATTTTGTCTCGTTCTAATTTATCTAATTGCACCAGTTCGGCGGTACGGCTAAAAAGGCCAATTAATTGCACGTTATTAGTATAATTAATAGATTCGGAAGATTAGGCGGAAAGGATTCGGCATAAACTTCCTTATAATTAAAAATCATTACGTCAAGGGGACAGAATTTCTGGTTTCTCACGACCCAAGTGTGGTTCTTGTAACTAGAAATTCCGTTTCTTTCAATCAAAATGCAAATCTGGCTGTTCCCTTCCCGATTAATACGTCCGAATTTTCTTCCGCGTAGGAATTGATTTTTATTATAAAGAAATTTATACTACTTTTATTATAAAGAAGTTTATGTACATACATTAAAAGTAACGTTGATTACACACCGTTAATGTGACCGACGAGCTTCTCGAGGAGTAGGAAGGAAAAACTCGACAAATTGTGCAAACCCTTTTATAATTAAACTTATAATTATAATTAAAATGCCAATTGTTATACAACATTATGGACATGCGTTAAAAATCATATTATCTTCCCTCGTTAAAGAAAATTCTACACGGGGAAAAAATGTTGTTACAAGAGCAAATTGTTTGTTAACATAGTGACAGCAGGAAAAAAAATTCGGTTGGAAGGCAGAAAGATTTGTTAAAAATATTAATTGCCATTTCCTGGACAGCAAAATAATTTGGTTACGCCAATTAAATTTTATCGCTGTCGCATGTAATTTTGACGTTTTGCTGTAACGGCAAAAAAATTCATTTTTCCGTGCGACAAATTTTCCCGCTGTCATTACGTTAACAAACAATTCGCTGTCTCGGCGAAACTTTCGTTCTCCCCGTGTATATTTCGACAAAGATTCTCCCTCCCTTTCTCTCCCTCTCTCCCTTAATATCATACAGAAAACTGAAACTTAACATTCATTTTTATCAACCCCCTTTCACATTGGATGAGAATTTAAGGATCGATCTGAGTTTAACTTGGATCCGATTATGGATTTAGTTTAGGATTTAGGATTAGCTTAGATTTGAGAGTTTAAATCAACAAATTCACAGCTCAATTCTTTTCGTTCCTCCATAAACATATATAACTTCATGTTATTTCTCAACCCGCGCTCTACAGTGGTTCTCAATCATTTCAGTTTTCCCTTGCTTTTTTGCATAATTACCTTTATTTACGCGATTTCGAATCAGCAGAGTGTATTGTTATTTCTTATCGACTCTACTATGTATCTCGCTTGTCCTTAGAGGACTCGCCGATGTAATAAACGCCCTTCTCCCCCCCCCCTTCCTCTCTCAACAACGAACGTTGTCGCAACAAGTAACGGAGGAAACAACACGCGTATACACGTGGCGATATGTTGACCCACGTGAAATCGGATAGTTATTCACTTTCGGGCGGAATGATCGAGCGCGATCGAGATGACTGGCGGAACCGAGATGAAGAAGCAGCGGCCACTGGCCGACGCTTCCCTCTCGGCGGCAGCCGACGACGCGAAGATTATATCGCGGGTGGTCCCGCCGGTCTTGGAATAACACAAATGCGCGGCCATACGTAAGCGACGGATCCATTAATAAGTCGCGGGAGCCCAGTCACGATCCATCACGATCCGATCGCCCGGCATATACAGGGTGTCGCGAAAAAATGTCACCACAATATAATTCGACTGTTCGTAAAGTGTTCATTAAATATCGCACAATCCGCTTTCAATGTTCATAACGAGCTACATAAAGTGTGGTAACATTTTTTTGCGCCATCCTATATATCGGATATACAAGGTGTCCCATTTTAGTTTCCACTAGATTATCTTCCTAAGAAATTATTTGAGAAACAAAAAGGATCTCGAAGAAAAGTTATATGGTTTCAAGGGGGACTTAAGATGGTGGGAACAATTATTGTGATCCTGTATTGTTGTTTTGAAAGTCACGCGAAGGTTATCTTCAATTTCTCAAATGGAATTCCCTATTTTTCATTCCGCATTCTTGTAGTTTATCTCGAGAGCTTTCCAAAACATTATAAATAAATATTTTCTCGTTAAGTACTTTTTGAGTTATGAGACTTGAAATTTATAGTGTCCTTTGCATTACCCAACGCGCACATATATAACACGTTATATTATATTATATTATATACATACATATATATATATTTATTTATTTATTTATTTATTTATTTATAATGTAATTCAATAAAAATTTTAGTAGGAAAACAAGTTTAAAGAACCGGAATCGGACCGATATTTTCATTCGGTCCGTCTCTCTGATGTCAATCGCTTGCGAAAATGGACAGTTAATCGCTTTTCTATCGTTCTGTCGTTCTTTCCGTTCTTTTTCTTTCACACAATCGTACATCACACAATACGCTCGCTCGACGAAGCGGCGATCAGTCGCCGTTCCCTTCAGTTCCTTTCGCCTTCCTTTCGTCTCCTCTTTTGATTTTTCTTCACGCATCCGACACACATTTGTTTGCTCGACGAATTCGATCGAATTCCGAAATTCTTCTCGGGGGGCTGAGGTCGCCCTGAAGAGGCAGCAGGCGGCCGAGGACGCGATCGCCCTTAAAATGGCCAAGGTGGCGACCGGACAGAAGCTCGATCGACTACCACCGGGGAAGATCTTCGGTATGTCCGTGACGGAGCCGAAATCCACGGTGGATCCGAACGACGACGACGACGCGATTCCCGACAAGACAAAGAAACACGACTTTGGGATTCTGGTGGACTCGAAGGATCTGCCGTCCGCTGTCGACGGCGCGTTACCGGCGGCTCGTCTTCAAAACTGTTCTGTACGTACACTCGGAGGACGAGGTAAGGTCGAACGAGGACCTCGTCGAGCAGACGATGCGGCGATCTTCTCAAAATTTAGATCGACAATTGCTACGCTCAAAAAAAAACGGTTTCGCAGTAATAGCAAAATTTATCTGGATACGAGGAATTAGCTAAGATGTAAGATAAATGTCTGGCGGACATTTCACGCCACATGCGTGTTGTATCTAATCAATACGGGCGACAGAAGCAACATTTTTATCTGAACTACTTATCTGATTTAGTGAGAAAATGCCTCTGTGTGGAACCCGGATTCGGAATGAGTCACATTTCTTATCAAAAATTAATAACAGAACCGAAACTTTCTCGCACATGTCGCTGGAATGCTGCTGTAACTGTTAATTATTATACGTACGGGCAATTTTCTAGCGGATACAACAAAATAGCGATACGGTTTTAACCGGTGACGTATAGAATTCCAGCTGGAGCAGCTGAAGACATTTCCCTGTGTGTTCGTATCTGGCTGATTTTTCTCGTCGGCCTGTAGAACCGATTTTTTTCAAGAGTGACGTTAGTCGCATCAGAGCGTGTATCGGAGAGAAGAATATCGTAAGAAATACACGTGGTTCATCCTGGTCGTCCTTTCACCGCGATTTCACCGTCCAGGATAGCTCGGAGGCCCGTTCGAGAGCCAGAAGCCTGCTCTTCGAGGCCGGCAAGCTGGATGGTCCCAAGGAGGCCGCCCCGGTGTCGCAGACCTCGGTGGAGACCCTGGCGCGCCTCTTCCCGAACACCAAACTGTCAGTGCTGCAGCTGGTGCTGCAACGTTGCGGGCAGGACCTGCTGAAGGCGATCGAATATTTCGCGAGCGACAGCCTCGGCATCGAGCCGTCGGGCGGCCGCACCTCGGCCTTCCGGCCGCCCCGACCCCCGCAGACGATCGTCGACAACGTCGCCGGTGGTGAACAGCAGCCGGTTGCTGGCGCGATGCTGGCGCCGATCTACACCAGCCTGTCCAGAAACGTCTACGGGGACGCCGGCTACTGCCTGCTGAACATCGTGCCCGAGCCGTTCGCCAAGTAATCGTTTTCCCTCCCGTCGTCCTCGCAAGGCGAATCCAGGCAACTCGGGAGTTCAGACAATTCCGAACTGTCGTGTGCAAGAAGTTCATCCGTAACGCAAAACTATCTTCCGTCGGCGCGGAATTGACGGGGATGAAATCAGCCCTTAAAACAAATGTAGATTTTCTTTTCTTCGCTGAGTAACCACGGTGAGGGATATCGGAAGACCGTTCGAAAAGTTGCGTTTCTCTTTTGCCGCACACGGAAAGGTTTTCGATAACTTTCGGCTTTCTGAGTTCGACCCTCACCACCAGCAATCCGTAAAATTGAGTTTTTATAGATTGTAAATTTACGACTTTGTATTTATATTTATTTGCATTTATATTCGGTAGTTATTTGGCCGGGGGAAAAATCTACATTTTTTTCAAGGTGTGGATTTCACCCACATCGATCCGCAATTCCGCACAGACGGAAGATAGTTTTGCGTCACGTATCAACTACTCCACTTGCGCACGATGCTTCGGAATTTTCGAAATTTCCGCCTAGATTCGTCCTGTCAGTAAATTCACTCCCGGTAAGCGGGAAATCGTTAATTCCATATTATCACAACGACGTTTTATAAAACGTAACATTTTCAAACATAGTCCCTAATGTCGTATATAACGTTACTGTTGGCAATAAGTTGACAAAAAGTCTCTCACCATTTTGCAAGTAACGCTGAAATTCAGTTGTTAATTAAAGTAAGCCTCTTTTCAACCGCCCGTACCATTTTCAACCCCCGATAACTCGAAATGTTGCGTGTTATTTGCAAAACGGTATAGGATACTTTTCCGTTCAGTTTCACCCGTTGTACACACAGTACGGGAACAGAGATTAGTTCGGGACACCCTGTATATATATCTCGTTTGGTCTTCAGCGTCGTCGCGGCCGATACCACCGGCACAGGCCTGCCGAAGACCGCGTCCGACCAGGAGACACTCGCGCTCACCAACTTCCGCTACGGCAATTACCTCAGCCCCGGCGTGCAGCAGCAGCTGCGGGAGCACGTGTGCGCCCAGGTGGCCGATCGCCTCTCAGCCAGGACCGGCATACTGCATCATCTACCGCCCGTCTTACCGGGCATCCCCTGCGTGCAGCCCAATTGCGCGCAGTGCAACTACAAGTTCGCGTGAACCTGGACCGATAATTCCCCCCGGATGCTTACGTCAGGAATGACCGGAATTTTTCGCACCTCTGTACACCCGATATTAATATACTTACAGTCTTCTTGAGGGGAAAAGAAGCTCTTTCGTGCCGAAAGCCGCGTTACGACCGAAAGAAAAAACGTATTTTCGCGCTGCGATAACTCTCTCTCTCTCTCTCTCTCTTTCATTTGGGGAAACGACGTAAATGGCGAACAAGAAAGACTTCCGTCAAACTCAAATTAATTAAACTGATTGATGAACGGTGATAAGAATTACCAACACCAACTTTCAGTTTTGAGACTTGTCGTTCGACAATATATATGTATACGATGAGTCAAAGTGTAACAAACATATATCTCAGAAACAGAGCATTTTACAGAATAATGTTTCAAATAAAAGTTGTACGGTTTCAAGGAGGACATAAGAGGGTGGGAACGATTTGACTTTGGATTATTGTTTGAAGGTCACCTTAAACTTTTTTTAATGGAACTCCTTACTTTCTATTGCGTATTTTTGTAGCTTACCTCGAGTGCTTTTCAAAACACTAGAATAAAATATTTTTGCATTAACTGCTTTTCGAGTTGTAAGGCTTGAAAGTGCTTGCAGTACCGCCGGCATTAACACTTACCGTATATATATATATATATATATATATATATATATATATATGTAATATGTAAGTCCATTTTATTTATGTATATTTTTCCATATTATTATTATTTTTTTAATTTTATTCTCAGAATATTTTTGTAATGTGCCAAGGATATTATGTGAAGTGGATGTATAACATCGATAGAACATTCCTATAATATTAAAAAATATTATCTAACATTCTTAGGATATTATAGGAATATTATTTTAATATTGAATAATATTCATATAATATTCTAGGAATATTGCGCGAATATTATAAGGGATGTGTCCGGCTAGAAAGATCAGCGAGCATTGGCCTAATTAATGTCAATACTTTAAGCGGGGTCTACAATGAGAATTCAAGGCGTAAGATTTAAGAAATTCACCAATCATGTTTAATTTTTCTTCTATAATTCGACTGTGATTGGTCAATTTCTCAAGTCTCACGCCTTAAACTCTCATTGTAAACCCTCCTTTATCAAAGCCCGGTGCGCTTGAATGATTAAAATGCGCTCTAACATCGCTCTCGTCAGTTCGTGCGGCAGAAGAAGCAACGTTATATAATTTTCCGTATGGCGTGAAACGCGATCACGATTATTGAGGAGAAGCGTGCGTCTCTCTTTCTTTCTTCCTCCGAGGGGCGAAATCCGTCGTATTTGCCGAAGTAATAGGGCGCCGGTAATCCAGTTAGAAATATATTCGATCCGCCGTATAAACAATGCTTGGCCGGTCGCAACCCCGCGCGCGCTCGAAGCAGCCGCGAGCGATTTACTTTGACTTTGGTTTTAGGATAAGAGAAAACACAGCGCTTCGTGCCGCGCGTATTCTCGATCTCCCCTTCTCTCTTTCTCTCTCTCTCTCTCTCTCTCTTTTTCTCCTCGCGTTCTTCCTCTCCCCCGGGGGAAAGGATTCGAAGGCGTCTCGAATTACAAAGCACGCTCGAAGGAATTTAACACGCAGCTCGAATCGATCGAGTCGAAATGTAATCCCCGTTTGCTCAGCCGCTCGAGAAAGATCGCTCCAGGAGACGATTCTTCATCAGCACACTCGGATTCCTCGACTACTTTACGTTCGGCTTGCTTGTTATAAAGGCAAATTCGCAGAATGCGGGACGACCGCATTCGAAAGTGGAGGAAAAGTTTTCGGAATATCTTTCACATATGCGATAGATCACAAATATTGTTATTTAACAGATATATTCTTTTATTTCGACGAGAATTTCATTACATACTTACATATTCCGCGAGAATTTCCGACACGCTCTTCGCTTTTGACGCTTCATTTATGAAAACGACTGCAAGGAAACGGGAGAAACTTATTGCTGTCCTTGTTTGGTGATGTCAAGAAAGCTTTCACGTTTTGCGTTACACATTTGAATAAAAAGATACACTCGCAAAATGACATACGATCGACTTAGCACACTTGTAAAATTGTCCGAACACTTTTATTTCGCTCAAACAATCCATAAGTAATCGAAAAATTAACACTGACAAAAAATCGTGAGAAATGAGGTTGAAGAGGAAAATTCTGTATCGAATCAATTTTGCGGCCATTTATTGGTTGCTCGTGTAAGAGAAAAATTCCCGGACAATTTTACAAGTGCGCTAAATCGATCACAAGTGCCTTTTTGTGAATATATTTTTTTTTAATTATAATGTATAACACAAGAATTCTTGGCGTATGTTTTCTCGCTTCTGACGTCATCAAACAAACATCAAACAAAGACAGTTGCAACGAGAGAGACTTAAGGGTCTTGACTATTGGCTGACTTTCCTATCTGTTCTTTTCTTTTATGATTTTCTCAATGTTAATTTTACGACTATTCATTTATTAATTATTCGAGTACGGGGTGTCGACTGAAACCCGAAAAAAAGTCCCTTAAGAGTTCTCTAATTTTCAGGCAATTTGTCAAAGATTCCAGGTGAGATGAAAGTATTTTTAAATGCATCTTGAAAATGCATGTATATTTATTGCAGTTCTTAATATTTTCCATTCTTAAAATATTATAAATCATAGAATAAAATTAAGTATCATCGGAGTCTCAATGATAAAATTTGAGTAATTTTGAAAGAAACTGTAAAGACTCTAAAAAATATTGTATATTATACAATACTTTTGAATTTTATTTTGAAAGGTTACCAACGAAAAATTATATAACGCATAACCAGTACAAAATGCAATTTTTATGAATCTATTGAAATAAATATATGTCTTAGTTAAACAAAATTGTACCTAACACGCGAAATCCGATACTGAATGTCGGATTAGTCATAAGATCGGTGAGTTTTGAACATCAGAATAATATAATTAAACATTTTAATTATATACATAGTTATAGAACAAGAGAGGGAATCTATCATAAACACAAAAGAAGTGCTAATAATTAAATATTGAACTTAAAAACAACCTCAAATGTATATACTGTGTTTCATTTTATTGACGCATTAAATTTTCTGTTGAACGGTGCACTTTAGAGAAAAATGTTTCAGACAAAAGTTGTATGGTTTAAAGGAGGACATAAGGTCGCGTCATTGGTTTGACTTTTGATAGTCTTTTGAAGGTCACATGAAGATCACTTTCAATTTCTTAAATGGAAAGTCCTACTTTTTATTGCATATTCTTGTAGCTTACCTCGAGAGCTTTTCACAATATATTAAATATATTAAATATTTCTCTCAATATACTTCACTCAATATATTAAATATTTCACATATATTAAAATATATATTTCACACTATATTAAAATATTTTCAAAATATTTATTTATATACATATATAAATACACGTAATATTAATAAGTTTGCGCCTACGATTTATGTAGCGCTACTCCTTATTACAGCTCCCGATTAGTATCCGCGGCCATATATGAATCGTGACGTCATAGACGAGAAATGACATGACGATATTTCTTGCATGACATTTGCAAATAAAGAGATATTTAATTTAATAACAACTGAGGTATCAGTAGAATACATTTGTGAAAATGAATGAAAACTATTCTTTCTCCTCCTTATAGTCAATAACTAGTCATAAGAGGCGTGTAAAGTGAGGCTTATTCGTATAGGAAAACACGAGCTTTTTTGAAAGCTGTTGAAAAGAATAAAAAATATTCTCCCACATATAAAATTCCAATATGATCTTAATTTTCGTCCATCGTTCGAGTTTGATGAGTACGTCGCAAGAAACACAATTAAGGAAATAACGAAGTGGCACGCAAGACAAAATTTCATCGTCAACATGCAAACTCATCCAATTTTTACGCGGAGTTCTTGATTGAGTAGTCGACGTCTTGATTGAGTAGTCGACGGTCTTAATTAAAATTAAAATCTGTTAAAAATCCCGTCGCAAAAAATTACGAACAATTTTTTCGTACGATTCTCTTAATGATGAAAATATTATTAAATAAAATTCAGTCGACCATATTTGTCACAATATTTGCCCGTAAACAGCGCGATAATATAGTCCGCAAAAAGCGGGCAAAAAGGTCCACTTAAAATTTTCCGAATTCCATTAAAATTCCCCCGAGAATTTCCCGATCTTCCCAGGCGTGAACAAATCGCCCGAGAACTCCGGATTTTACAGATAGCAGACACCCTGGACTGAAGAAAAAGCGTTCGGCCAATTTCACGCGTGTGCTGAATCGACATTTGTATATCATTTATATCATTTTACTTGAACGCACGATGCGAGAATTTTCGTGGTGCGTTTCCTCGCTACTGACGTCATCGTTGCAAGCTCGGCTTGTGTATTTCGGGACGGAATATACACAAATAATCGCAACACAAACCGTCCGTGTTCGTCTCACAATGGTTTTATTAATTATTCGATAATAACAGGCACATCAGTTCGCACTAAACGTTAATCGCTGCTACGCTGAGACCGCTTCGATCGGAGTCTTTTTTACAGCACGCGCGCTGTGAATCACAAATGAATCACAAAATGGATGATGAATCTCTCATGATAAGAGCGACGACGGCGAACGGAGCCGGTGGCTGGGTAGAACAATGAACGAACCGAGATTCACTACTAAATTCATTGCGATCTATAAAATCGTTCGTCACGATAAAAAAAAACAGTGGTCTCTCCTCCGCCACTTTCGGCGACAAGTGTGGTCGAGCGTCGCCGAAAGCAGCGTGCATTCCTTAATCGGTATGTTTTTGCACGTGAACGATACGCTTGTGATTGCGTGTTCACACTTATATCGTAATTATACACGTACATACATATATACATATACGTATGTACAGGGTGAACCAAACTAATCTCGGTTTCTGTGGTGTGCAATTGTACCTACCGACAGACGTCGGTATGTTGAACTTTGACCTTAAACTTGTCGGTAGGTACAACAGTTGTCATATAATTGTAGGTTCGACTATTCGGAACGAAAAAGTCTCTCATTTTACAAATAACAGGCAAATTTTTGAGTTACTGATTAGAGAAGCATCTGTAAATGACCATTTTCAATCACTGATCATTCAAAATTTTGCGTGTTATTTGCAAAATGGTATAAAAGCTTTTCTGCTCAGTTTCACCCCTTCTACTTCCACACCACGCAAAAATTAGTTTGGGACACCCTGTGTGTGTGTTTGTGTGTGTGTGTTTGTGTGTGTGTGTGTGTGTGTGTGTGTGTGTGT